ATTTCTCTCCGGTAGAAACAGCAAATGTCCTTGCCTCGTATCAGTGACGTGTTCCACTGATAAATCTTCCCACCACTGGAGGCTGGAAACTTTTTGAAAAGCGGTTCAATTTCTTTGCACTAGTATTCCTCTGTTGGTCTGGCTCAGTAACATAAAAACCCATGCAGTGTAAAGAAAATAATTGGACTTTGCTTGGTTTTTAATGAGTCTGTTCTCAGAGGGTTTGAGAGAAGTGCATCTCAAATGATAAAAAAATGGGCACATTCACACGACCGGCCTCATGACGACAAACTCTCCCCCTGAGACTCGACTGCATACACATAAGCCAGCTGTGATCATTCACAAAGTACAAAAATGCAAAGAACTGAATAAGAGAAACTTGAGGAGCTCTTCACTGATGGAAACAACAAGGGGGCTGAGATGACATGACATGCTTTTCCTTCTTCTTCAGAGGGCTGAGAATAGAAAACACTCATCGTTGAAATGCTTGGTGTGACGGCAAGGACAGATAAACCACTTCAATGACAGTCAAGACACAGGCTTTCTAATTAAACATCTCTGTGAGGACAAAACGAACAGAAGATGAAGGGAGAAGGAGTGGGAAATGGACGACTGAGGCAGAAATTCATTTCAGAGCAACAGACATGTCAGGAGAGACTCCAGAGTTGTGCCAACGGGATCCAACTGGGGAAATGTCAGACTCTGAAGTTATTAAAGTCATTAAGGACTCCAGAGAGAGAAACAACAAGACCACTGTTACTGTATATTCCACCAACAGCTTGGAATTTATCCTACTGCAACAATTTAAAGCTGAACTTGTGGCTGAAAGTGAACACGTATTACTCTTCATGACAGTACAATCATTGCACATTCAGACTTGCAAAGTGGTTTTAGCCCAAATTATGATATATTTCAAGCAAGACTGCTGCTAAAAAGACTAGATAAAGGCCATGTACTGTACTATAGCAACCACCTAGACCACATCAGCAATCACACCTTAGAATCCATTTTGCAACATGTTAACAACCAACGGTGCTGGGTAGATCAATTACAAATTGTAGTCTGTTACTGATTTCAAATTACAGGACAAAAATTGTAGTTAGTAACGTAATCTATTACATTACACATTTTAGGTAATATAATCAGACTACTTTTTGATTACTTTTAGATTACTTTTGACCTAACTCATTCATCACATCGATTTAAATGGAAAAATCTTGTACCATATTGATATAAAAATACAAAGAGAAAGAAAATATATTCCATTTATTGTTATTATCAACATTAAGTGCATTAAACATTAGATTACATAGAGGTTTTCCAAACTGGGGTTTGTAAGTTTAATGAAAAGCTAATAATGAATTAAGTCATAAAAATTAAAAATTTAAATAAATAATTTTAAAATAACAACAATCAGAAAAAAAAACGTACTAAAAATATGAAATATGTATTAATTATAAATATTTACTTGATCTTTATAATAATTATAAAGTAAAATAATTCAAATAAACACTTCAGAATCCACACAGCAACATGTTAACAATCAGTTAATACACACTAGCAACTGCATAGCAACACAAGCAAACAAACACCCAGAACGTGTTTACAACCACCTAGCAACACCCAGTATGCCCTAGTAACACCATGGCAACCACTCAGAACACTTTAGAATCCACATAGCAATACATTACTGCAAAAATGCATAGCAAAACTCTGAAAACCACTCAGAACATCTTAGCAACCACATAGCAACACCCTAGCAACCATCTACACCACCCTTAGAATCCGCATAGCAACATGTTAACAACTGCTTAGAACACCATAGCACACACACACACACACACACACACACACACACACAAGGGCTGCACAATTAATCGAATTTCTAATCGCGAATTATGGATGCCACAATTACATAATCGTTCAAAGGAGCAATTAATCGTTTAAAGTCCACTTATGTTATTCTGCATGCTTAAGGTGTGTTTCTTGCTAGCTACAGGTTATCTTAAGGGTTTTTCCATTGTTTTAATTTTAGTTTTAGTATAACATTATAATATCATGCTTATTTTTACTTTTTTTATTTAAAGAAACCAATCCAATGTATAGTTGACATTTGAGGCTTAATACTATAGAAAAGCACTAAAAGTTTTCAGGTAGAGTGTTTTCAGCTTGTTTATTTTCATATAAAAATATGGCGTGCAGTTGCTTCAAACAATGGTGTAAACATCATTCAATGTAGATTGTGATAATCGCAATTAACAATCGCAATTAGAATTTCAAGGGAATAATCGACAATTATGATTTTTGTCATAATCGTGCAGCCCTAACACATATACACAAACACCAAAAATGCTTTGCAAAAACCTAGCAACCACCTAGAATGCCTTAGAATCCACATAGCAGCATGTTACCAATCAATTAAAACACCCTAGCAACTGCACAGCAACACACACAAACAAACAAACACCCACAAAACCACCTATCAACAATCTAGCAACCACCAGGTACATCCAAGCAACCACCTAGCAACACCCAGTATGCCCAAGCAACACCCTAGCAACCACTCAGAAAATTAAAAAATTCACAATTACTGCACAACACACTGAAAACCACTCAAAACGTCTTAGAATCCGCATAGCAACATGTTAGCAACTTAACAGTGCACACGCACAAACACCCAAAACACTTTCTTCTATCTTGCAACTAGGGTTGGGCCGATAGACGATGTCATCGTCCATCGCCGATGGCTGATAGACATCACGATGTTGAGCCGGCATCGTGAGCAAAGTAAATGATAAAATTTTGATACAATTGATAACACAATTTTCATATATATATATATATATATATATATATATACACTGAAAAAAATTGGGAGAG